TTTTGAACATTTATAGGCCCATCAATGAATGGTAATAACGTTATTAAACATTCGTCCGATCAATTTGACGATGGTTATTCAGCATCCATCAATGCAAATAGTCGAATCACATTGGCTAATATCTCTGTCAGGAATGAACATGTTCGGTTAACTTCACCACCACAACAACAAATAGTTAATAGCTGGACATTAGGATCAACAACAGTTAATAAAAAAATGGAAGATGGAAGACAAACAGACATTGAGTGTAAGTTCCTATAAAATAAATATACTGAACTTCTCGTTTCCTTTCTTTCAAGATGAACCGACGTCACTGCAATTAGTTGCTAAAGAATTGGTTACAGATGAAAAAATTCGAAAAATTGCACGGAATATATTAACACATAAATCAGTTTTGATGTCAAAAACAGATATTATAAATATATCGACACATTCGCCGATGAACCGTGACCAAGCCAAACAACGACTATTGAACGATAATTTGATTAAGCGTAATATGTTTTTCTCGTCTCGTAATAAGACCAACAATACTTTAGTCCAACATGAAGGATTCATGAAGTCGTTTCCTGCGGATTCATCGCTGACGGAACAGTTGGCATTCATGAAAAAATTGAGTCAATTTAATTTAACATGGCAACAGTATTTGAATTCATTTACTAATGGTCAACAGATTACAATTGATCCAATCACCAACAAACCGATAATAACGATTTTCAATGTTCATACAACCAATGCATGGTTTATATCAGAAAAAGCTGAATCTATATTCAGATCCGAACCGTATTATGGAGATTATGTTAATTATAATGAACATCAAGTACTGAGACCAATTCAACAAGTCGCAACAAGTTTATGAAGTAAAAGTAATAACGATAACACCTGCCCTGGTAAAACTCAACTTTGATAGCGACGTATTATTTTGCAATCAAAAAGATAATCTGAGGTTCTTTTAGTTTGAAATAGAATGGACTTGAGTGTTTTTTGAATAACGTTTGCCAAGAAAGTGATAGAGACTTCCGGTTTTCGTTAATTGAAAGCCAAGACCTGACTGCATCTTTTCATCATTGAAGTCATTTTGAATCTCTTTTTCCAAAGTAGGTTTTTCCTGAATCGAGAATATTAACTTCTTCTAAAAAATAATGTTTTACTAAACCATTCTATAATAATTTGATGATATATTGAATCCATTCTAGTACCAATTTCTTCTCAATTTCTTCATCCTTTGTTCCTTCTATTTTATTCAACTCATGATGTTTTTGTTCACACATCCAAAATATTGTGGTCTTAACAAAATACAATGGAATATATTGTTCTCTATCTCCTTGGAATGCTGTTTTTTTATATAAATATTTATAATAGATACTTTTTGCGACACTATTTAATGATTTTTCATTTCTTGTACGTCCCTCAGCTAATATTAATTCAATTGCTGAAAATGAATATCTGAAATCAAATTCTTTATAATTACCTGATGATATTGGTGATGCTTTTGCCACCAAGTACATACACGTTTTACAGATTTTATCATATAAATCGGGACGATTTTGTCTTAGACGGTTCAAAAATGGCTCTATATTTTTTGGCCAAAATTTTAATTCTAATGCTGGGACAAAGTCAAAATCCAGATCCGGTATTGAATTAATTATTTCAAGCATATTGGAAAGTAAATTAGGATGACTTAAATGTTTATGTTTTTTGGTAAAATTGAATTAATGCTCTTCTTTTTTTGTTTATAATCGAATGTTAATGGTATATTAAATGCTGGAGTTGTAAGATGTATATATGTGTGATCCGCACTTAGTACCGGACGATTAGGAGTATACACATCACGCCATATCTGTCTCAAAATTTTATCTGAATCTAACGAATATTGATAATAAATCCTAAAATTTTAATGTTATCATAAAATTTATATCTTTTCGATTTTCTTCTATTATGTCCAATGCTTCTTTAAAACTCTGTGAATAACCATTTTGATCAAAATTTTCTCTTATTCCACCGGCACTCACTTTTACTGCAGCTAACCGAGATGATGTTTCAACGTTTCTAAATAATTGATTTTATGAATTATTCTTTACAAACTCTAAATAGTTTTGTTTCGTTTTAAAAGCGTTTACGTATTGTTTATCATCCCTATGTGGTAATGATGGTAATGATGTATTGTTTCATTTTACACGAACAAAGAGAGGACATTTTTCAATTGAGATTAATTCATCTTCAAAATTTAATGTACCAAGTGTAAACATATAATCAATATTTGGACCCATATAATTACCACCGAGTTGTGGACAATAACTTTGACCCTCGGCGCATGCACCAGTGATAAATAGTTCAATCGGTTGATTCGTTTTCTTTTTGTGCAATAATTCTTTTTTATTCATTCTATTTATACTGTATATAATGAGAGGAAGAACCTTTTATTTACTTACTTGGTTATATAATTTTAAGTACAGTGATGTCACTTTGCATGGAAACAAATAGAAAAAAAAACATTATTAGAAGGTATAATTGTTTTACAGTACTTTCGTCACATGATGAAAATGGCATGCCGCATGTCATTTTCACGCCACGCATGTCACATGCGTCGACAAACGAAATATCTTTGAATTCATCAACATCAAGTTGTTTTAATTTTTGTGGACAAACGTATTTTAAATCTACAAGATTTTCAATTGAGAATGCATTTTGTAGTTTACCGTATTGACAAACTAATTTGAAAGCAACACTATCTTTGTTGTGAATTTTTTCAATGATTAAAGAAGATAAAAGTTTTGCATCTGTATTTGTATGACCGACTATATGAATTTGAACGCCTACACAATTAAAGTTTTTTGTTAAATTAATTAAATAATCTTGATGCAATTTCATCGTTTTATTTACGGTATTTAAGTAATTATCGGTAGCAGTTTTACATATAAGATCTTGGCGTGATGAATTAGAAGGACATATAAAATATTAGGGTTGGTTAACATTGATAATGAATTACTAGAAGGTGTGTGTTATAGCAGAATCAAGATCAAAAGAAGAAGTGATTGGCTGAGAAGCCAGAACATATGTACCTGACCATGAAAGAAAAGTTGGAGAGGTAATTTCATCTAACATACTTATTCCTGATTGCATACGAGACTAATATACAGTTGAAGATGAAGAAGCCAAATCGGTTTTAGAATATTTTTAAAGCGAATCAATATCTTGAAGACAATCGAGTAAATTATTTCGATTTTTATTTGAATTGTGTTCATTATTCGAATTAAAGATATTTTTTACTAATGAATCGAAAGAAATAAGATCTCTTGTGAATGAGTTATTTATCAGGATAAATTGTGCTATTTTGCGCTAACAGTGTAGACGTGTCATAAGTAAAAGAACATTTTACCAAAGTTTCTTCAAATTTAAAGCTTCAAAAAAAAATTCGGAAACTCATGTTACTAAATATATCTTTAGGAAAACACTTAGCAAAAATACAAAAACAAATTTTTCAGACTCCACAGTGTCAAAATTAAAAATCTTTTTATAAATTGGTAGACCGAAATGCCTACTTTCAGGATATGTATAGCTTTTTTAACAAACATTTCTAGTTTATATAATAACGCTTTATCTATTTCAGCAGCCAGGCTTTATTTTGATTATGCGTTTTCCAACGAACTAGAACAGTGAAAACAAACATTTTTATACCATTACATAGAGCATATGTCAATATATATTTGGCCCTATTTCAATCTCAGGAAAGTGCACTTTCAATTTCTCGCCTAATGTCCACGGTATTGTTCACTGCGTGACATCAGTCGGTAACGAATCGTTAAAATAATGAAGACTTAAAAATGTAGCACAAAAAATAAGTGTTTCTTACAAAAGTCTTGACTATGGCATTCAGAAGAAACAAGATAGAGACTATTATTTTCTGATGATCGGCATGTACGAAGTAATTCAAGTTCCGTTGTGCATGAAGGTCCGGGTAAGTTATCGTCGCAATAGTTATCGTCACTACATCAAAAATGATGAGAAAAAATTGGGGATGTAAGGTGGCGGTAATTCAAAATACAGTAAAACATTTTTGTTTTCGCTTTTTTGCCATGGTTGGATAGAGCTCATCGAGTTGCATTGGAAAAACACAATTCCGCATTTTAAGAAGTCATTTCTTGGTGAAACGATTTAAAAAT